TTAAGACTCAGTGAACTAGGGCAAAACCTTTCCTTGGAGGAGGGGCAAGCACAAAGCCTACAGAGGCCAGGCAGGTGATAGAAATGATCTGGAAGGACAGCCCCAGCAGGAACACCATGATAAACAGCAGGGGGCACCTCCTTGGGGTTATAGAGAAGATGGGGTGGGGGACCCGGCATACATACCCCATTAAAAGAGGGCAGCCACCTGCTCAACTCCTGCTAATTCAGGAGGTGGGTCCAGCTTGACTAACCAATTGCCATTGATTTGACCCCAACTCATGTGTGTCAGAGTAGAACTGTCCTCCATCAGGTTTTCAGTGGCTGATTTTTTCAGAAGTAGCCAGGCCTTTCTTCCAAGGTGGCCCTGGGTGGACTTGACCCTCCAACCTTTTGGTAACATGTGATTGCATTAACCATTTGTACCACCCAGGGACGCCCCAGCTTTACTAAATCTTACCATTTCCAGAAAAGCAGAAAATCTGGGTCTTTCTGTGTAATCTCTCAACTTTTAACATGGACTTAAAATGTTTATGGGTTTCTGCTTCAAAATCTAACAAAATAATGCAATGACCAAAACAACATATCTAATACCTGGTAGCATAGTGCCTAAGGCACTTGACTGCTCACCAGAAGGCTGGTGGTTCAAACCCACCAGCCACTCCTCGGAAGGAAGGTTGGGCAATCCTACTTCCGTAGTGATACTGCCTCGGAAACCCAAGGAGGGGTCGCTATGAGTCGGGGCCGACTCGATGGCAAACAACAACAACAACAACAATACCTTTAAAGGTTAAACCATTAAAGCAGTGGTTTCTCAAACTTCCCGAACATCTGGAAGCCATGGTATCCTTTGCAGAACACAATAAACTGTGGTTCTCAACCTTGGCTGCACATTAGAATCATCTGGAGATCTTAAAAAAAAAAAAAAAAGAAAAAAGCTGGGGACCCACCCACTGCACTGTTGTCAGACTCTCTGGGGAGTGGGCCCAGGCGTCACATGTACATCGTAATGTACAGCCAGGGCAGAGAAGCACTGCCACACTGATCCATGGAGTCCTGTCATTGGAACCAGCTGTCATTTCACTAGCTGCCCTGATGTACAGGCAGGCCCCAGTATGAACGAGATTGGCTCCTAATTGTGTCTTTAAGTCTTTCAATGAAATTTGTAGGTGAGTTGGAACAGGTATATATAGTTCTTTTTTAGCCTTACTTTAGTGCCAGGAAAGGAGCTCTGGTGGCACGATGGTTAAGGCCTTGGGGCTTCTAACCAAAAGCTTGGTGGTTTGAACCCACCAGCTTCTCTGCAGGAGACAGACGAGGCAGTCTGCTTCCGGAAAGATTTACAACCCTATAGGGTTGCTATGATCCGGAATCAACTGGATGGCACTGGGTTTTAGTGTGAGTTGGGAGCTCTGCTGGCACTGTGGTTGGAGCATTAAGCTGCTAACCAAAAGTTTGGTGGTTCGAACCCATCAGCCACTCTGCAGTCTGCTTCAATAAAGATTTATAGCCTTGGAAACCCTACAGTGTAGTTCTCGTCTGGCCTGTAGGGTTGCCAGGAGTCAGAATGGACTCGATGGCAGTGGGTTTGGTTTGGTTTTGGTGCAAGACAAAGCTCAAAGCCTTTTCAGTGATTTAAAAGCTACATGTGAGGGAAGGGAACACTGCAAAAATAATAAATAAAAATAAAATAAAAGCTGCACGTGCAGCAAGTAAAGGTGATTGTGATGAAGAATTTGTTTCCATTAGGAGGTGGTCAGTTATTACAAAGTGAGGGCAAATTTATATAACATTTAAGGGCAAGTGGGAGTTGTCCATAAGTCAGATGTTTGTAACTTGGGGACTGCCTGTGTATAAACAAAGGCATACCTATGAGCCCAGGTGTCTGAGAATATTTTAAAAGGTAGTTAAAGGAAACATGGTCTGCTGTTCCCTGGTTTTTCCATCAATATTCTGCACAAATATTCTTTGCTTGTTTTCTCTCCCCAGAACTTACCTGCTGAAGAAAAGGCAAAATAGGAAAAAATGGCATCCATCAATATATATTTTTCTGTGTCATGGAAAAGTTGATCATAATTTAATTTGTAGAGGCAAAACTCCTAGTCTGGTTCCGCAGAAGCATGGCTTAAGGAAGAACCACAAAATGACTAGGGCTTGGCCCTTACCCGAGGCCCAAGGTTGGGATTCTAGGCCTGTTCCATGGAATCCTACCAGGATTTTTGGGGAAGCCACCCCTGTACTCGATGATCCCCTCTAGCTTCCATAAGTGAGGTGATGATTCTGAAGACCTGACTTCAGATCTCACCTAATGATCTTAGGAAAGTCATTTAACTTCTCTGCCGCTCAGTTTTCTAATCGGAAAAACAATAACTTTTATGGTCATTCTCCTTGAGGCTTGTTAAAGGGGCAGACGAGTTCATGAAAATGCTATGAAATGTAGTTGTTGTTGTGTGCCGTCGAGTCAGACCGACTCATAGTGACCCCTCCTTGGGTTTCCGAGGCAGTATCACTACAGAAGTAGATTGCCCAACCTTCCTTCTGAGGAGTGGCTGGTAGGTTTGACCCACCAGCCTTCTGGTTAGCAGTCAAGTGCCTTAGGCACTATGCTACCAGAGCTCCTATGAAATGTAGTAAGGTGGCGTTATTATATTTATTTATTTACACGCTGACTCCTTCCACAGGTGACTTAAAACGTCCCAATTATTTAATGGATTTAATTGTCAGGAAGATTACATTTACTTTTGCTCTCCTGGGTAATTCTTTTTTCATCATTTATGATTGTATCTAGCTTTGCTTGCTAGTGTCAACTCTCTGACTGGGTGACCTTGGTCAAGACTTCTCTGAGACTCTTTCTTCATCTGCAGAGGGTTGTACTGATGACTCAAGTGTCCCTCCTGATCCCAACTATCAGCAATCTGTAGATCCTGGTGATAAACAACCCTTCCCACCTCCTTCTTGAAGTCCTCTAGAAATATCCATCAAGCAGAGTACAAATATTTTAGGGACATATTTGATCTGTGGGCTGGAGACAACCAAGGAGGGATAATCACATATGGTTCCTGAAGACTTAGCTCATTGCTGTCCCCCATGCCTCCATCTCCTGGCTTCCCGCTGTCTTGACCTCCCCAACTTTCCTCACTGGCATGTGCTATCTTCTGTTCCTCTTCTTTTTACAGCAACACACACATTGCACTCACATCCCCAGTTATTGGAGATACTGTGATTACTGAAGCCATATTGATGACAGCTCCTCCAAGACCCAAGTATTACCAGCACCTGAAGGGCTTGTCAGTCAAAGTGCTTACCCCTGCCAGAGGGTCCCACACATGTAAATTTATAATTTAAATTGCTATCACCGGTTCTTCGTTCTACTGCCACCTGACATGGTTTGGAGGCTAGTTGGCAGTGTTTGTTCTTTCAAAGCCAATTATTAATCAGGGCTTCATTAGCTGGTATTCACACATTTGTTTTCCTAACATCTGTTCCATTAATTTTCTAAGATCCAGGGTCAGGCCCACCAGATGGCAATTTCCAGAAACATTCACTCATCCTTTCCTAAAGATCAGTAGTGCATTTGCTTGTTTCCAGGCCTCTGATCCTTCCCGCCTTGTCCATGACTTCCTCAGACACCCCTCGGCGTGATTATGAACTCATTCCAGTCATGTCCATTATGTGTGGAATCTGGATGTCTGAGCTTGAATTTCACGTTCTGGCTTTTCTTACCATTTGTGCAGAAAGTTTTTCTCTGGGTGTTAATGCTGCTCGGACCTTCAGGATGTAAAGTGTACAGGAGCAGAGGAAAGATGGGGATATTTCTCTTTCCTGTTACCTGGCTTCGAGCACTAGGGAAGAGCACGTGCTGCCTTCTGTCTCACAGATGGGGATAAAGGGACCAGGGAGTTGACTTGAAAGCCCTGTGGAGCACAGTTGTACTGACACACATGGGGCCACCATGGGTTAGAATCTATTCGATGGCATTTTTTTCTTCTTTTTTTGAAGAACAGTGAGGGTGGAGAACCTGAGGCAGATTTGGATGTCAAGGCAGTGGAGGAGGAAGCAACTCCATTTGATGGCCCAGGCTTTAGGGCCATATCTTGGGGCTCACCACTCCTGGTTCAGGCATATGTTTGAGTCCAGGGCCACCCTGACTCTTCCTATCTCCACCTTGAGGTCAGAGAGGCTTCAAGCCTCTAGAAAGGTCACAGGTGGGGCCTTGGCCATGCAGCAGGAGTGACTGTCAGCAGCACACTGCCGTGTAGACCCCATCCATATGGCAAAAAGGACAAGGAGGCCACATGTTCTGACCTCCTCTAATCCCACAAGAGAAAGAGTCATCATCAATAACCCAAGGCCTATTCCTGTCAGGCCAGACATGCTGCCTCCCTCCAGCCCTTTCTCCAACTGTTCCTCCCAAAGCACCCACCACCTCTCTCCTGGGTTCACTAATTCGCTGCAGTGGCCACACAGAGCTCACAGATTATGGGGTTTATTACGGAAGCACCACAGGCTACAATTCGAGTTCAGGAAAAATGCTCAGTCTCTCTCCCAGCCCACCATCCCTCGGCCAACAGTCTCTCACAGTCTCTTTCCCAGCAGTGCTGGTCCCTCGGTGTCTCACTCAGCAATGTATGTCTCTTGCGCCTCTTTCCCAGCAGCACGTGTCTCTTTCAGAGGCGCGTGTCTCTTCCGGCAGCACGTCTTCCTCAACCAGCAGTCAGAGAGCGTTCTGCCTCTAGGAGGCCTCATTTTGAGCCCAGCAGAGTGGTCAAACTAGCCAATCACAGCATCAGAACTCTAAGCACCTGAGAGAATGGGAACCTCCCAGAACATTGCATTATGCCACGCCCAACAGAAATAACCCAGGTGGATAACATTTACAGTCAGGAGCTCCTCAGTTGCTCATTCCACCACTGAGTTTACAATGACTTATGGGTAGAAAAGCCATACTAAGTAATTTACTACACTGCACATGCTCAGCCTCTCCTGCTGCTTTTCTCCTAGATGAGCTGGCCGTCTGCCCCAAAGGAATCACCTCCAAGGTTTTCCGCTTCAATGTGTCCTCAGTGGAGAAAAATAGAACCAATCTGTTTCGAGCAGAATTCCGGGTCCTGCGGGTGCCCAACCCCAGCTCCAAACGCAATGAACAGAGGATCGAGCTCTTCCAGGTAAGCCCCCTCCCAGAATAGAATCTGTACAGGTGGGAAACCAGTTCCTTCGTCAGAGCAGGCCTCTGTTCCATGTAGAATCTGGCAAAGCTGGGTTTGAACCCTGGCTGCTGGAAGTCTTCATTTGTGTGTCTGTTATCACCTGGGACATGTTATCAAGGAGGGCCAGTCCCTGAATGTTCTGGTCACCTAGTGCTGCTCTGACAGAAATACACCACCAATGTTGTTGTTGTTAAGTGCCGTCGAGTCATTTCCGACTCATAGCGACCCCATGCACAGCAGAATGAAACACTGCCCGATCCCGTGCCAGCCCCAC